CACACACACACACAAATCCTGGACAGGGATAAGGGGTGAAGTCTTCTAAAATATACTTACAAAAATTATCTGATGGCCAGCTGGTCCCTGGAGAGGGGAAAACAAAAGGAACACAAGAGACATGAATAATAAAAGAAAATTTGCAGGACTGCAATTAATCCACAGAGTACCTGCCTTTCCTCTAGCCTAAAATCTGAGAGCAGCAGAGACAACTTTGCAACATGTATTTTATGAACCACTTACTGATTGCTTGTTTTGGGCCAGAGGTCATGCTGAAGGTCCTACAACCATTGACTCTGAATACTTCCAGCATCCTTAGGATGATACGACAGAGAGTAAGTCTTGCAAACTTTGTTTGTGGCATACTTTACTTAGAAGCCTTTTCATAGCATCTCTGGGCCAAAACAAGTGCCTGTGTTCTACCTATTGAGTAGTTATATCCAAAGAACTTGTTATTCATAGTTTACACGAATGTTCTTGTTTTTCCTTGAAAACTGCACATATTCTCTGATGCCGCTGTCAGATTGCTGCAGAGCCCTGAGGTGCCCTGGCACAAGGCAGCACAGATACACCACCTGTGGCACACAGAGTATTAGTTTGCTCTAGTCTGTTGGTGACAATTTGAGATTCAGAAAGGTTACCCCACTGGTTTTGTAATGCGGGAGTCTAAAACGCACACAGTTGGACTCAGAGCCATTCTGTGATGCCAACCTCTCCCTTCTCATTTTCCAACTCATTGCGTTTATCTCATTATTCCTCTCCCCAACCAGATGTTCTTCACCTTTGCCCAAACATACATACAGAAAAATGTGAACACAGATGCACGTGCATACTTGGCTTCCAACCGCTCCCTCCCAGTGGGATGCCTCTCCCTTGAGTACTGCCCTCTAGAAAGTTTACTGCTTCAATTTCCAGCTTCAAGTTTTACCTCTTCCCCACTTGTTGCCATACTCATCTCCATCTCTTCAAATCCTGCTTATCTATCAAACAGTATATATTGTTGTCTTTTTGAGACAGTCTCTCTATGCAGTTCAGGCTGTTTTGAGCTCACTTTATAGCTCAGGCTGGTCTCAAACTCACAGTAATCCTTCTGCCTCAGCCTCCTGAGTTCTGGGATTATAGGCATGTGTCACCAAGCATGGCCTCAAATGGTATATTGATGACATCTCACCTTGCGTTCTTCTCTAATTATTTTATCAGTGTATATATTGTTTTCTTAACAAGACTGAGTATTGCACAAAAAAGGGAGTGGGTATTACCTAGTGCTAGACATAAAGAAGCTACTATGGCTGTTCAAATCAGCAAGATGATCAAATTCTATAATTTGACAGCATACTCTAATGCCTAGATATAAATAAAAGAGAATATGTTTAACATAAAAATACTCACAAATGATACATCTACATTGTTTTTCCATTTTAGGTAAGGCTTTAAAGTATGATTTTACTTGGCTCTGGCAGCAGACTAGTTATAATATTCTCCAAGGGAGAAAGCTGAAGCTTAGACAAGTTAGGTGACTGGCTAAAGTCCAACCTGCAAGAGGATGAAGTGGGTACAGAAGCCCAGCGCGCTCCTCCCTTCTAGCCATCTGCTTTTGGTCTGCCCTCAGCAACCTTCACAGATACACTGACTTTTGGCCCATGTCTTATGAGAAGGGCAGGCTCTCTGTTTCAAAAGCACTGTCCAGATTTTAAGCCATTAGTGCTGTGCCCTCTATACCTCAACTTCATTCCAGGCAAAGCCGTGAGCCCCTGAGGGACACTGCTAGGGATCATGCTGACCCTTGGGGGGCTCAGTCTGCTTGTGAAAAGTTCCAGGGCTCTCAAGGGGAGACGGAATCTCAAACTCATTCTTCTACATGAGGCCAACACAATCTTCCCTCTTAGGATCAAGAAAACCCTAGGGCTGGGGCTGAAGGCCTCTGAAACAAGCTTGTACATGCAAAAGTTTAGAGATTAAAAGCATGTCATGAAAATATAAACAGGCTGAAAACGTGTATCAACTGTTTTTGGGTCATGAGCGCTTTGGTAAAATCTGCTGGGGTAAGGGCTCAGAGTGTCAGCCCTGGGGCTACTGTCAGCTGTGGGTCTTACTGATATAGGATTTGGGGACGTTACTTCACCTCTCTGAGTCTCAGCATTCCTGTCTGTGAAATGAGGTCATAGGATAGTTGTGAAGAATAAATGGCAAAACAAATGTAAAGCATGAAGGATGGTCTTGGCAGGTGACAGACACCCAATAAGTAAGAGTCACTTATAACAGATGACAAATAAGTTTCATACTATGCTCCACCCAAGGCACTTATTAAATAAGAGACAGCATTGGCACAGCTAGCACCAGTTTGATAGTGTTACGGGCCATAACCAGGAAAAGGCTCTAGCCTGGAGCATACAGAGAAGAGGAGTGCGAAAGAAAAGAAACAAGAAGGTGCTGAAGGCAAAAATATTCACCCAGAAAGACCTCGGCAGGAAACAGAAAAGAAAGGGAGTAGGAGCCAACAATTGAATCAAGCTTGAAAATGAAAATAAATAACTTGGACTGTTCAAATATAAATTTCAAATAACATCTCTTTCTTCTGCATGCATCTCTAGGCAGTTGGGAAGATACAAACATGTTGTATTTATTTATAAAGCTTTCTTGTGATTTCAAAGAACATCGGAATTAAACTTTAAGAAGAAAAGAAGGGGGAAAAAGCCACAAGGTGGCTGTTTCTTCCCCTGGCAAATGGGATTGAGTCTGGGCAAGAAGCATTTATGCCAGGATCCTTTCAACACAGGTCTACCTTCACAGAGAGAGAAAAGGCAGGTCACGGAGGTGGTACACATGTGAAATATCTAGAGGTTCTAAAGGGCTTTACAAATGTTATAATTACTATGCAGAGGGAAGCAGCTGTACCAACTTAGACATCCATCTGAGTTTCCCTGGAACACCAAGCGTCCAGGTGCTTTGGGGGAGGGTGACAGCATGGGGATACTCACAGTGACTGGGGTGTCCCAGCTGAGTGGCACAGTACGTGATCGCTCCCACAGGGACTTATCTGCTCCAACCTCAGAGTAAAAGACCTTAAAGAGACCCAGAAAGCCTGGTGAGAATTGAGCCCATACTTCTCTAAGATGAAAGGTCCAAGTTGCACTCACAGAAGTAGTGCGTCTAAAATGCACCACCCCACTCCACAAACCATTTGATGGGAACGAACATCAGCTATCCCTGATGGGACCACAAGCTCAGGATCCTGCACAGGCCAGGAAGAAGACCCATGCCACTGAAGGAGGACAAAGAGGGAAGGCTCTCTTCCTCTGACAGTTCCCCAAATGACAACCCTGAGAGATAGTGTTCATTTTTTTCCCCACTTTTGATAAGACATGAGTCCAGAAATGAAAGGGCTTCTATCTCTTGGTGGAGATGGTAGGGCGTGGTGGAACTTGTGTGTTGTGGACGGCTTGGACCCCTGTCACGTGGAAACTCAGCTGCAGAGTGCGGGGTGCTCCCCAGAAACATGAACTCAGCTTGCCCCACATGCCCAAGGTTTCAGAGACCCCAATACTTAACAGAAATATCCTGACTTCTAAAATGTGACTTGTTTCTAAAAACATGGATCAAAGAAAACATTTTGGTGCACTGAAATCTGCTCAATTTATAAGTGGTGTTGGTAACAATGTCTGATTTTTCCTCCACCTGATTTCTTTTGATTTTTCATGTTTCTCTAGTATCCTCCATATTTGGCCATAGGCAACTAGAAATCAGAAGCTATATCCTCTATTTACTTTATATTTGCCTACTGCTGCACAAAGACGATCCTAATTAATGAATGCAGATGGCACATTCAGAGCTCTTACAAATGCTTTAAAACATTTCTTATCGTTTCAACAAAGACAGATGGGGCAGGTGTTCATACAGGAGGGCTGGTATAAGGAGCACACCACAGGGTGGACCATCCATAAGCTATAAATTCAAAATCTGAAACCTTTGAATCTCAGCACCAAAAGCAGAAAATTCCACATGTGACAGATAAAACACGGGAGTACTAACACTATTGTGAACAATTCTCTTCAGGCTAGAGATGTAAGGGATATGTGAAACAAATAAACACTGTGTCTATAGTTGGGTCTCGTCCATCCTTAAGATTCCTCATTATGTGCTTTCAAACATTCCAAAATCCAACAGACTTCTGTCGCAAGCTTTCTGGGTAAGGGATACTCGACCCGTGGCACGAGGTACCAGGGCAGGAAGGATGCACGTCGTCCCCGCGCACCCACGTTCATGCACTCACCGTGTACCCAAGGATCGGGCTCCCAGGAGACCGTGGCGTTCTCCATTTGAGGCTGAAAGCTGTGCAGTTCAACGCACCCAGCTTGATGTCAAGCGGAGGCCCCAATTTGCCTACCCCCAAACAAAAGAGACTGCATTAGAAGCTCCATGCATCGTGTCTTGTATGTATTTGCACAAGATTTAAGACCATGTTCTTATCGATGGAGGCATAATTCAAGAGACTTCAGCAGCTCAGAAATCCTATCTCTGCCATGATTGTGTATTACCCCTCTGAGGCTCAGCACCTGTCTCAACTGCCCCCACCAGAAATTTACTATTCCCTCCCCAACCTGGCATTGGTAGAGATATCAGCCCCCAAATTTCTCTTGGTCCATTCTGTAACATCTGAAAATCAGACACCAGGGCTGGGGAGATAGCTTGTCAGTCTAAGCGCCTGCCTGGCAAGCACGAGGACCTGGGTTCAGTCCCTGGTACCACATGCTGTGCCGGACGAGTCCGAGCTGTGTAGCCAGACCCTCTATCAACAAATAAATAAACAAATAAAAAGCAGGCACCAGCAAAATGAGATTTAAGGAACCAGGAAAGAGAGATCTAGAAGCTTGGAATAAAGCAAGATGATGGATTCTTTTAATTGTTCATAACATGTATGTTTTATATATGATATATATGTATATATATAT